GTAGCTAGACCATTGATAATGAGGACCAAATTTCTTGTATCTGTTTGGGGCCATGCAATCTTACATGTTGGATCATTGATACGCATGAGACCAAGTTCATATCATGTATATTCATCACTACAACTTGCTTTTAGTCAAGAGCCAAATATATCCCATTTGAGAATTTTTGGGTGTGCAGTATATGTCCCTATTGCACAACCTCAACGGACCAAAATGGGTCCTCAAAGAAGGTTAGGGATATATGTTGGTTATGAGTCAGTATTTATTATAAGATATCTTAAACCGTTAACAAGTGATGTTTTTACAGCACGCCTAGCAGATTGCCAGTTTGATGAGGCAAATTTCCCATCATTAGGGGGAGAAAAGAAGATTATGGAAAAAGATGTGTCATGACATCAGCCTTCTTTATCATATCTTGACCCTCGTACAAAGCAATGTGACATGGAAATTCAAAGGATAATGCATTTCCAAGAAATGGAAAATCAATTGTCTGATGCATTTACTAACACAAAAAGGGTGACTAAATCATATATACCGGCTGTCAATGTTCCAGCTTGAATTGAAGTTCCACATGGACAATCTGATGATAAAGTCACTCAAGATTCTAAAACACACCTGAAGCGTGGAAGGCCATTTAGTTCTAAGGATAAGAACCCACGAAAAAGAAGAGGATCAGAAACTGCACTAGATCATGAGGAAAGTATTCCTGGAGAGACACGAATTATTCAAATTCCCCAAGGAAAGGAGGATGATGCATAAAATTATGGTCAAACAAATAGAATATGTGACCAAAATGAAACTGAAAGTATAAGTACAATATTTTCTTATTCAGTTGCATCTGATATTATGAATGATGATCCCGAACCATAATCTATCATTGAATGTCAAAGAAGAAATGATTGGGCTAAATGGAAGGAAGCTATGCAAGTTGAATTAAATTCTCTTAACAAAAGAAAGGTTTTTGGAACCATTATCCTCACACCTAGAGTTGTGAAACCATTAGGGTATAGATGGATCTTCGTACGAAAAAGAAATGAGAAAGACTAAATTGTAAGATACAAGGCTAGACTTGTTGCTTAAGGTTTCTCTCAAAGACCTAGAATTGATTATGAGGAAACTTATTCACCGGTAATGGATGCAAACACTTTTAGATATTTAATTAGCTTGGCAGTCTCTAAAAATTTAGAGATGCGTCTTATGGATGTTGTTGCAACTTACTTGTATGGATCACTTTATAGTGATATCTATATGAAAATCCATGAAGGATTTAAAATGCCCGAAGCATTAAGTGTAAAAACCCAAAGAAATGTATTCTATAAAATTACAAAATCTTTGTATGGGTTAAAGAAATATGGACGCGTGTGGTACAATCGTTTGAGCGATTATTTGACAAGTAAAGGTTATAAAAATAACACTATTTGTCCATGTGTGTTTATTAAGAAAACAACATATGGGTATGTGATCATAGCAGTCTATGTTGATGATCTAAACATCATTGGAACGAATAAAGAAATCATTGAAGTGATTGAAATTTTAAAGAAAGAGTTTGAAATGAAAGATCTTGGAAAAACCAAATATTGTCTTGGTTTACAAATTGAGCATATGTCTAACAGAATACTTGTATATCAATCAAATTACACAAAAAGAGTCTTGAGACGTTTCAATATGGACAATGCTAATCCTTTAAGTTCTCCAATGGTTGTTAGATCATTAAATATTGATAAGGATCCATTTCGTCCATGTGAAGAAAATGAAGAAGTTCTTGGTCCAGAATTACCATACCTTAATGCAATTGGAGCTCTTATGTATCTTACCAATTGTACTAGACCTGACATTTCTTTTGATGTAAACTTGCTAGCACGATTTAGTTCAGCCCCAACAAAAAGACATTGGAATGGAATCAAACATATTTTTCGATACCTTCGAGGAACTAGTGATTTAGGATTATTTTATTCTAACAATTTAAAACAAGGCATGATTGGTTATGCAGATGCAGGCTATTTGTCTGATCCTCATAAAGCTAGATCTCAAACTGGATACGTATTAATGAATGAAGGTACTGCAATTTCCTGACTTTCTCAAAAGCAAACACTTGTTGCCACATCCTTAAATCATGCAGAAGTAATTGCACTAAATGAACCTGGTAGAGAATGTACATGGTTGAGATCAATCACACAACTAGTTTTAACTTCATGTGGACTTGAAAAAGATATAGGTCCAACTTTAATATATGAAGATAACTCAACATGTGTCACTCAAATGAAAGAAGGATATCAAGAGCGACAGGACAAAACATATACCTCCAAAGTTTTTTGAGTACACTCAAGAGCTTATAAAGAAACATCAAGTTGAAATCAAATACGTTCAATCCAGCAACAATGTAGCAGACCTTTTTACGAAGGTACTTCCTACTGCAACCTTCAGGAAACATGTACATGACATTGGAATGCGACATGTGCATAGAATATAATGTAATAGATGTCTAAATAAGGGGGTGTCAACTATACACTGCACTCTTTTTCCCTTCGCTAAATTTTTTTCCCATTGGGTTTTTTTTAGCAAGGTTTTTAATGAGGCGGTACTTCAAAACTGAACTCTAGATCAGAAATGGTGTCATCCAAGGGGGAGTGTTGTAAATTATTGTGAATGGCACCAATAATTGGTGAATTGGTGAAAGATATCATATCATACTATTTACATGATGTATGATAGGTAGTTTTTATTGTATATATAACATACTCTTGCAAGAATAAGAAGCAACAATTTCACAAAGATAAAATATCTGATATCTTTTCTAAATCTTCTTCTCCATCAAGTTTCTTTACGTATGTTGTTTTAGTTTGTTTTAAATTATCATAATCACGTTGAATTGATAACATATACTAGTTTAAAACCCGTGGGAACCACGGTTATAAAATGAATTAAATTTTTATAGTAAAAACTCAAAATTATTAATCAATTATTTTAAATAAATTATTAATTAAGAGATGTTTTTATTAGTTATATGAAATTATAATCGTTGATTCAAATAAATATGTAAAATTAATTTTAAATATATATTAGACATTTTTTATTTATGAATTAACGAAAACAATAATATCAAATTTAAATTTAAAATTTAAAATAGAGAATAAATACATTGACAAATAGCATCACATTAATGATGATGTTTAATAAATTTAAAATAGAGAACTAATAGATTAACAAGTGACAACACATTAATTAAGGGGTCTAATATGATGATACATGGCAAAAGAACTACTCATATATATATATATATATATATATATATATATATATATATATATATATATATATATATATATATATATATATATATATATATATATATATATATATATATATATATATATATATGCATTTTTCAAAATTCTTAAGCCATCTATTCGGTCACTTCTATTCCAAATATATATAATAATATACCCACATTAAGCAAAGTTTTGAGATTTTAGGTAAATCATTGTAAAGCCCATGTGAGGTGTTGGGTTCACATATTGAATTTAGAAAAGGACTATATGTGGTTCAAATATGACCTTTGTATGGGACTATAATTGTGTTGTGGGGACGACGATCAAAGTGAGTCCTTGAGAAATATCTCATCATATAGAGTAATTTGGGTATGAGGCTAGATAGGCTTATAAGATATTTATATGAGTATATATATATATATATATATATATATATATATATATATATATATATATATATATATATATATATATATATATATATATATATATATATATATATAGAGAGAGAGAGAGAGAGAGAGAGAGAGAGAGAGTGAGAGAGAGAAAAGAGAGAGAGAGAGAGAGAGAGAGAGAGAGAGAGAGAGAGAGAGAGAGAGATGTTCATTATCAAACCAAATAACATTGGCTAACCATGAACCAATGTATTAACCATTAGATCAATTGATTAGGGACTTAGAAAAAAGCTGATATATTTGAATATATTAATAAATTTAAAACAATTGGTGTATGTTTAAGGGTATGATGAGTATTTTATCAGCTTTAGATTTGAAATAAAACTGATATAATGGGTTTGTTTCGGTAAAACATTTTGAAAGTAAAAGAGGCAATAAAGCTTGTTACTGTCTTTTAGTACTAATTTAAATCATTATTTGTTTCAAATGCTAGTCTAAATATGATACAAAATTGAAAATTGAATATACTAATATGTTTTTACAATTAAGTTTTTTTTGTCTATCTTTCATTACATGAAATTGTTTCAACTTTTAATTACATGAAACTACAATGACACTCTGTGACAGAAACTGTGTTTTTCATTATACGTGGACCATTTTGTAGTTTTCTCAAAATAAAATGAACAATAAAAATAAAAAAGCACTAAAAAAATTGTCGTTTTATATATGGTCCCTCTCTAACGATATTATCTCGGCTTAATATGGTCCTTTAATGACGATGCTATCCCCGGAAGCAAAAAACATAACAATAAAGATACAGTATAAATAAGAAATGAAAATCTTGACCAAATCCATAAACCCAACAAAAAATAGGGTAAATTTTATAAATTGTTTTAGAATGGCTAACATACCTCCTCTATTCCACTTCAAAACTACACATCTATCCACTATAAGATTTAAACCCTCAACCTTTTAGAAAAGTAACACATTTTCAAACACTTAGATACCGTTAGCCAAGAGTCATTTGGTTGTAATTTACTATTTAAGTATAAAAAAATAAGTATATATAATTTGATATATGTAGTACTAATCAATTTTCATCAATTTTCCTCAACTAGCATTAAAGAGTCTCCCTTCTCTACGCAAAGATACCATTATGGTTCATGGAGGATGAAAAATTAATTGTTTTTTTTTCGTTCTAGATTGGTATTTCTTGATGGTATATTAATTTGAAAACCGACACATCAGACATCAGTTGTATTAGGGATTAAAAGTATTCTAAGTATAATAATTAGGGTAACATGTCTTAATCAATCTATTTACTTGTCTTTTGTTCCCTAGTTACATTTTATAGCACAAAAATTTCTTCTCCAAGGTGGTTTTTTAGAGTCTTGAAAAAAACCAATGAAATTCAAGAAAGCAAGGAATGCCTAAAAAGTTTGGACTTTTTGTAAGATGGGCACCATAGGCCAAAAGTTGATCAAGATTTAAAGATAGAATATGCATAAATATCAAATATTCAAAACAATGCACTATGCAAAAGTAACAAGATCCCATCTTTCAATCAAACCGAAGGGAAAAACTTGTTGAGATTAAAGGGCAATGAGTAAAATTCTTCACTCCTTGTATCCGTCTTGAAAGATCTATATTTGTCCCACCAATGCATCCCTCTATCCTTCCTTGTTGCAGCATCTTTCTGCCTTAACGTTACATCTAGCAACATGGCCAATAATCCACCCACAAATGCTTCCGAAGAGAAAGGCACATTTATCATATCATTCCACTAAAGAAAGAAAAGGAATAAAAAGGGTTCTCATTAGTGTAAGTTTGACTTTTTGTGGTCAAAATCGGTACATCTCAAATTAAAATTCGATGAACACTTCTTACCCATCTGGCTTTCGTGTGGACAGGACCATAACCCTTTATCGCAGTGTACTCATTGAAGTATTGTGGTATCGATAACCCCATAAAGATCGAGAATCCAAGAATGAATTTTACTCTGAAACTGTTCAAATTACAAAATTGGAGAAATCCAAGACCTGCTGAGCCTGTTTTCATTCAAAGATTTCAAGAAAATAATCACCAGATTAACAGATTAGCAGAAATTTTAACCTAAACTGCAACTCGAAAATGCTTTAACGTTTAATGCGTACCAACATAGGCGAAGAACAGACAATACAATGCTGCGACAATCGGCGCGGGAATCGATGCGAATACAGCCCCAAATTTTCCTGCAAATCGAGTTCAGTCATCAAGAAATTAAGAAACAGAAAGATGAATCGAATGCTTATGTAGAATAACGAATTTGATTATTACCAAGAACAGAGAAGAATATCATGAAGCCAGCAGAAATCTGGACAACCCTTCTGCTACCAACGCGTGTTAAGCCAAGTAAACCAGCATTTTCGCTGTAATAGATTTGATTTTAAGAATGTTGCAAAGAAATTTTGACAATTTTATCAATTAAACTGTAATAAGTTTAAGCTTACACTGATACGGCTGAACCATTTCCTGTTCCAAAGATTCCAGAAAACAAAATGCCGACTCCCTTCAAAACGAAAAAAGATAAAGAATCAGTCGAAATCAAGGATGGAATTGGGTGGTGGAGTGGCGGAGCTACGGCGAATTAGTATTCCGGTACCTGCCAACCAATGCCGCGGCTAAGAACCGAAGGCGGCATAGGCGTTGCACTCGCGTATCTAGCAACTGCAATGAACGCGCCAGTAGACTGTTTTGAAAAATCCAAAAAAGAATCCATTAAAATAGGAATAAGATGAAGAGTAAATTACACGTATGGTCCTTATGGTTTGGATTACTTTGCAGATTTGGTCACTAATTTATAAATACTATTTTTCCTTTAATTTTTTAATTTATTTAAATAAAATGGGATAGGTAAGTAAGATAAGGTGAGATGAAAATATAGTTGGGATGTGTTTATTTAAATAAATTAAAAATTCAATGGCAAAATAATCTTTTTAGATAAGATAGGGACCAAATGCACAACAAAATCAAACACTAACGATTTTCCATGTTAAAAAAATAAATTAGAAACAAAAGCGTACAAATTACCCCAAACCATATCACCTATTTTTGTAATTTACTCTAAAATGAATATTTCTTATCGTATGTAAATACAAGGTATAGTTTAAATGAATAAATTAGACTTCTGAAAAATCCAAACACTAAATTTAGCTCATAAAAGAAAATGTAAACAACCTCGACATTTAGCTCATAAAAGAAAATGTAAACAACCTCGACAAGAGACACGAATGAAGCAGCCATCATAGCAAAAGCTTCTCCAGCATCAAATGTTGGAGCTCCCCATTGAAACGGATAAGGAACTCGTATCCTTTTTATAAAAATAAAAAATAAAAAATAAAAAAAAATAACATTTTTTAAACAATTTGATGAATTTAAGAATTCATAAACAAAATTCGATGAAAAAAAGATTGTATACCAAGGAGCAGCGCCTATGATTCCAGCACGATCGGTTCTACAACTGTATTGAGTTGTGTCAGATTTGTTCTTGTAGGCCCCACCAACAGTGAGTAAATGAGCATATATCCACACAATCACCACAGAAAATAAGACAGCAAATCGATCAAATATATGACTCTTTCCACTCATAAGATGTGGTATATACTGCAATAAAAACATCGTTGTAGTTTAACACAATAGCATTCTAATTTCATTTTTTTCTTATTAAAACGTTTTATTAGTAAATACCTGTGAGAAAATCAGCAGAAATACGATTTGGGGAAGTCCAATCTCGATACATTTAGCAACCTAAAGAAAATGATACAAGTAAGTATATAAAACTAAACGGAAGAAAAAGAAGATGTTATAATTTATAAAAAGTGAGATGTTATGAAGTTGTATTATACCAAGGGAAAGCCAAACTCGTATAGCCCATATCCAGTTAGAGCAACGAGTGGAACTGCTGACAATGGACTCATGAACCTTGTGATATTGCGCCAAAGTCCACTAAAACCAAGCACGATTTGAAGAGTTGAGGCCACAATAAGAGCACCTTGTGTCCCTCTCATAATTCTCTCAAATTTCTATATAATCATCAAGAAATTGGGATGAAATTGGCTTAAATCTTGAATATAAACCCTACTTATAGACCCCATTTGTTATTCATGACAAATGTAACGAGTCAGAAGAACAAAAATTGCAACTTTTCGTCCCATCAAAAAAAATAGAACAAAAGTTGTTATCTTTTGCCCTACCAAAAAAAAAAGTGGGACAAAACATACAACTTTTTTACTCTAGTTGATGTTAATAGGTCTAAAATAGCACATTTTTATCCCACAAAAAATGTGACAAAAATTGCATATTTTTATCTCACCCAAAAAAGTGAAACAGGTAGTTACTACCTGAGTTGATGTCAGATGGACAAAAATTGCAGCACTTTGTCTCACCCAAAAAAGATGGGACGCTTAAGAAAATATGAGACAAAAATAACAACTTTTTGTCCCGCCATAAAAATGAGACAAAAATTGCAGTTTTTTGTCCCACCCAAAAAACTTGGATAGGTACCACCTGAATTGACAAAAATCACAGCATTTTGTCCCACCCAAAAAGATAGGACACCTAAAAAATATGAGATAAAAATTGCAGTTTTTTATCCCACCCACAAAGATGGGTCAGATAGTTACTACTATTAGAATAATAACTACCTGAGTTGATATCAGATGGATAAAAAGTTGCAGCATTTTATCCCACCCACAAAGGTGGGTCAGGTAGTTACTACTATTAGAATAATAACTACCTAAGTTGATGTCAGATGGACAAAAATTGCAGCATTTTGTCCCACTCAAAATTATAGAGACAATAATAGGTAGAAGTCGGTTGGACAAAAGTTATAGCTTTTTGTAAAACATAAAAATATTTTTTTATGTGTAAAAGATGTAAATGCCTTTATTAAATCTTAAATCTTGAATAAGGTTTAGTTTTACCTCTTGAGGATCGAGAATGTCGGTATATCGAGCAGCCAAGATGATTGAAATGGTTGTAGGGATGAAAGTAAAGGAGCCTCCAATGACAGCTGGCAACCGAGTTCCAAAAAGTGTTTGTGTTAATGTGTTGATGCCAGCAACAAAGAGTAGTGTCTGAATCATTTTGGCTTTTTCTTCCTAAAACAAACAAAACCCATGTATCCAATCAAGTTATCGACTAAAAATAAAAAAAACCAACATTGTAGTTGAGATCTTGTGAAATGACTTACATGCCCTCCACCCATTTGAGGAACGAGAGTAGTGGGAATCAGAACGGTTGTTCCAAGCATCACAAGATAATGCTGAAAACCTAAAAGTATTGCCTCGGCTGTTGCAAAATCAAAAAAACGTCAATTAACAATAAGAAAGTGAAGGATCAAGACTGATTAGATAGGGGCATTTTGGTAATTTTATGTGAACAAGATTTCTATCTTGGAAAATAATTCGACTTTTATCTCAAGAGGGTTTTCTTTGTTAACTAGAAAATTTTAAAATAAAAACACAAAAATCATTTCGTGATAATTAATAGTTAATTACTTAATTTTCACACAAATGAGCACTTAAAATACACAAAACCATAAATTTTATCAAAACACACACACGCACAATAAAACACATAATGATTGAGTTTAAAGTTTTAACCATCATTCTTCGTTTTACATTAAAATTAATTTTATTGTTTTTTAAACACTGATTTTGCAAGAACGTTCAACTTTGTTGAAGTTATGATCTATCAATCTAGCTTTTCTTTTCCTCCATAATCAGTCATCCTTGCAAGTTAACAAATTTTACTTTGAAAGCAATATAAATAATAATAAAAAAATGTAATCATGATCCAAATTTTACATGGTTTTGTAATTTCGTTTTTGCACAACTCATTCGGAATGTTTACACATAAGGGTATTTACTGATCAAACCCCACATGAGATAACACAAAAAATGCTAGAAACCCATGAGAAAAATGAGAAAAAACATTACGAATAAAAAGATAAGTATGTGTTTGAAGAAGAAGAAGAAGAAGAAACAGAGCAAAAACTTACGCCATGGAGGTGGACTTGTTATGCAATAAGAAACATTAGGAAGCTGATCTTTAGCAGGATGCGGCTGCAACTCCTCTTGTTTAGGCGGTGGCGCTTGCCCTCCTCCGGCCATGTCTGTCGTCTAAAATCTTTTTCTTATGAATCCAAAAAAAAAAAAACCCACAAATTTCGACACGATATAACCTTGATTTCAACAATATGACACAAAATCTTGAAAAGGGTATCACTCAATCCCCATAACCTGTTGTTTCCTATCTAAAAAGCATAAATAAACGGATCACAATACCACGACGCAAATTCCTGTGGAAAAAATGTAAACTTTTTCTTGTGAAATCTTGATTGTACACAATGTGATGACACAAAAGATTAAAGAATGAACACCCACTTGATAGAACTCTTCAAGAAAACATGGTGGAACTGGTTTTGATAATTTTTATAGGAAAAAAGGGAAAAGGGGTGTGAAACAGAGTTAAGAAATAAAGAAAGATGAGAGTAAGGAACCAAAGAAAATCAAAATACCATCTTTATGAGGAATATTTTGGTTCTTTTTTGAATTCAATTGGTTTAGGGTTTTGAGAGTGTTTTACTTTTGATTCTTTAGAGTAAAGAAAAAGTTGTAAAGCATCTCTCTCTCTCACTCTCACTCTCTCTCTATCTTCCCCACTGCCAACTTTACTCATCTGTGCACTTTGTACAGTCATGCACAAGGAAGCCATTCAAATGGCTTTGCTTTAATGATTTGTACTGATCTTATCACCTACCTGAATAATAAATTTTCAGTAAATTAAAGACATAATTTTATGACATATCTTGTTGCATTTACATCATATAATAAGAAATGATTCCTTCGTTTGCACTCAAAGAATTCGGTTTTGTTTTGTATATGCCCAGAATCGTATGATAGGTGTGAAAATCATACATAATGGTCAATGGTATCGAATATGATGTTTCATTTATTGAGAGATAAAATGTTTGTTATCATATAACCGTTTGTGTTTTTTTAGTATGATGTTTGTTTATATTACACGTTTGAATTGTGTGTGTTTATTTATTTACTTAACAAAGTAATTTCTTAAACAGGGAAACAAATGAAAACCCATCAAGATATAAATGATGGGAGATCATTATTCCAAAAAAATGAAATTTACATTAATTTTATGATTTAGTGATGTGTACAATAATTGTAATTAGAGTGTTTGTAATTAGGGATCAAGAATGTCGCGGAGAGGCTGAGGTGCTGAGGAACGTTTGCTAGAAAAAATAATAATAATATACAAAATGACATGTAATGTGACAGAATATATATATATATATATATATATATATATATATATATATATATATATATATATATATATATATATATATATATATATATATATATATATCATAGTTGTATTTTATATTTCATATGGATGATTCAAATTTTTAAATAAAAGAAACATCTCATATAAATGATAGGTGTGAACTTTTATTTGACCATCATAATGGATTATGATATGTAATGGCGGAACCAAAGTCAAAGTAAAAGAGTATTCCAAAAAAAAATTTGTGTGGCCTAATTTTTTTTTTTCGGGATACTTGGGTTTCTCCGGTTCAGTTTTAAACTCAAACCTTAATTGAATCATTAGCTAACTTCAAGTTTTGTTATATAAACATGAAGTTGAAGTTTTTTTTGATAATTGAATCGATGTGGGAATCAAAATAGATATCAAATGAAACATGAAAATAACATGTAAATATAATAGACCAGATTGGTTGAATTTACATGTGTTTGATGATGTGGGATAGAATAGCTGGGAAAATAAAAATAAAAAGCAAAACTACGAACATGTAAAGAGGGAGATTTGAACATCTGCATCAATATACTACTTTGAACATCTGCATCAATATACTAACACCTTATCCAACAAACCACATGGTTGCTTGTGTTTATAAGTGAAGGGAAACATATATATACACTATATAAAACAAAATTTTGCTTAAAAAAATTACACTAACGAAAAAAAATTTGAGGGGTATCCCGGGCTCTACATTGGATCCGCCCATGAATTGATATGTTTAACAACTAATTTTCTTTTATATTGGGTTTAGGTTACTCTTTGTTATTGGATTTTTTTTTATATGTTTTAGACAAAATTGTAAAAATATCCTTGTGGTATTTTTTTTTTTTTTTTTTTTTTTTTTTTTTTTTGGTTTTGGTCCAAACCATAAGTTTTTTTGATTGATGGTCTGTTTGAGCTAGTTTCATTGCGTTTTTTGTCCCTTTGAATAGTGAAATGACTGTAATACCCTTAGGTTATTTATTATTCAATTTTTTTCATTTCTTTTTAAATCTAATACTAATATATTTATTTTAATAATTAATAAATTAAGAAGGGCCCTCTCTCTCTCTCTCTCTCGGGTACACAACACTTCTATGAAGAGTACAGGTCCTTATCTTCTTCCTTTTTTTAGTTAAGACCATCCATTTCTTTTTTAATCTATGGAAGCCTATCTCACCTCCTTCCATTAGATCCGAACCATTTGGGTAAGTATAAGGAGTGAGGATTGTGATTCACAACACCAGTTTAGGGGTTATTTTCCTGATTTCTGATTGAGAAGTTTGATTCGTGGTTTCTAGTTAAGGGATCAAGTTTCAGCTACTTGTTTCTTAGATCTGGAAGATAAGAACCCATCAATGAAGATCGATGAAGAATTACACATACAAACACGATTTGAATCTTACCTTTGATTCTTGTGAAGAAATAATGTTTCAAGAAGGTTGGTAGAAGATGGTTGCATCATTAAAGAAGATGAACAATGCCGCTATGTGTTCCGGCGTTTGTCAGCACTAGTGAACATGAAAACCACCATGGAGATTACTTTTCCCATCGATTTTTGGATTTGGGACCGCTACCTAAGTTTGTTAAGGTGGGTGGTGATGAAAAAGCAAGGGCAGTATGAGGTGGGATTTTTTCTATTGTTTTTGCTCCAAATCTACCTTTCTCCATATTCGTTTCAGGCCTGGAATTAAGAACTTAATTCGTCTCTAAAATACTTCTAATCAAGGTTCTGTAACATCTAACATCGACCCCAAGACACACACAATGAAGCTTTTTAATGTGTAATTAGATATCAACAATAGTAGCAAATCATTTTCTAGAAGTGTATGTGGAGCTTGAGTTGTAGGTGAAGAACATCGAAGAAGATGATGGAGTGGTGGTGTGGTTTCGTCTTTATAACTGAAAATCTCCTATTCTCAATCATTTCTTGTTATGTATCATTCAAACCTTCAATTCAATGATAAATAAAAGGAAGAAGGGGGTTTTAAATTCAGATCTTTCTTGATCTGAATGAATGTTACAGATGTTATAGATGTTGGAATAGTGTATAAGCCCGTAACTATATTTGGTATGTACTTGACCCGGTTATGCATGGTCCTTTTGGGTTGCCTTCTCCAAAGCAACTTAACAAGGAAATTTAAGGAGAAAGAGAGAGTATTATGATTTATTAATATATTATAAGAATAATATATTAAAGGAGAAATCATATTTATTTAATTAGTATTGGTCATAAATTAATTAGGAGTTAATTTGGTGATCAAAAGAGATTAATTGAATAAAGGGGTATAAACTGTCAAATGTATGATAGTTGAGTTTTGGGTTAAGGAAACCTAATGGACTTAAGGGGGAAAGAAATTATGATGGGTAACCATCATATTTTCGTCCAAGGCCTTATTCCAGAAGGTTCCATGGGCTGCTTGGTGGCTAAGCTATCCATTAGGGTTTAGACTGAAACCCTAGTAACCTGTAAGTATAAATATGACCCCTAGGGCATTGAATTCGGCTACAACTTGATTCTAAGAGATCCCTAGGCTGATTTATAGCCTCTCTCTCCCTCTCTCATATTACCTTCTTGCTTGTGGGGTTTGTGAACCATTAGAGGAGTTGCATTTATGACTCTAAGCTCAAGAGAAGAAGAAAGAGAAGATCTAAGCCAACATTTGAAGAGGTAAACATCTAGATCTGATTCTATATGTTATTTTGTTGTTTATATGCTAGATTAGGGTTTGTAAGTCTTGGAATCAAAGCATGTTCGATAGTGAAACCTAGATCCAAGCATTAGGGTTTGTATGAGCACATAGGAATGTTTCTTATGCCTAAAACTCATCAGTGGTATTAGAGCTTTGATTGGTTTCAATTGTATGTGATGCTTAACTGCTTTACTTGCTAAAAATCGAGTTTTTTGGCCCCTGACCGACTCAACTCGGCAAGTCAGTATCTGGACTCGGCGAGTTGGCCCCTGACTCGGCGAGTCAGTTCGTCAAGCAGAGGGTTTTTCGGGTTTTGGCTGCTGTTTTGACTTGGATTTGATGCTTAATTTGTTTTATGAAGTTAAAATCTGAATTTTATCTTAATTAAGTGTTTATCCTTGTCAAAATAATAGATAGTTTCAAATCTTTTAATATTAGTTGTTTATGTGATAAATATGTATTATTTAAAATTATTTGGTAATTATCTAATGATTAAAAAATTAAGATTAGGTCAAATATAGATAATTATGAAATTAATTGGTTAATTTGAATTATTTGTTATTTGATCCCTTATGTTTTGAAAAGTTCAATACTTGCCCTCAAGCTTTGAAATTTGAATTTATGATTAAAAGTTTAATTTTTAGTAATTTAAATTTCAAACCCTTAGCATTTTACAAGTTTAAAATTCAACCATATACTATTATATATTATTACAAGTTATATATATATATATATAACTTAAAATGCTAGTCTTACCGTTAGTAGGCCTCATATATATATATATATATATATATATATATATATATATATATATATATATATATATATATATATAACTTAAAATGCTAGTCTTACCGTTAGTAGGCCTCATTCACGAAGTCGGTCTAAAAGGTGGGTATAAGGTTGTTGCCTATAAAATGGCGCTTAATGGGTGTACACTCAGACCCACCGCTTGCTTGACTGGTGGAGGGTCGTTAGCCGAACGGGTAGGATAGGGAAACCCTCTCCTCATTAAAAGTATAATGTTAATTATAAAGTAACTACATGTTTTACAAATTCCCATTCCTAGTTACTTTAGGGTAAAATGTGAAAATGATGCTAGTCCATGGAATTACACTTCGTACCCTTATTAAATGTTGATGGAGCGCGTGTGGTTAACCGGCACATCAATTTGGGGATGACATTGGTAGCGAAGGGTGACTC